GGCCCCCTAGCCCCCCCCCTCAGTATTGCTTCTACCAACCCACCCCCTTATTACAGACTTGACTTTTAACTAGCCCAATGACTTTTGTAACACGTTTCTAACATTTCTGTACTGTTTTTCTTTTATATCAATTACAGATGTTCTAAGTCAGTGTGATGCAGTGACACAATCCAAGGAAAACCACATTGTTTGATCTAAAATAATTGCCACAATTAATTTAACGGATTATTATTGCCACTTCTGATCTGCCAGAGATGTTTTCTGTTTAAAAACCATTTAGAAATGAAAGTATTAACCGCATGTATATAATATTCTTGAGAATGTGCACATTTTTCTTGGTTTAAAAACAGCAAACATATGCAGATTAGCGGTTAAACCAGTTACATTAAAATCAATTAGATCTTGATAATTATTTCATACAAATAAAATACAAAAAATAAAAATGCATATTAACATGAGTTTTATACTTTTTTTAACCTACGTAAAATAAAGCAAACCTTAAAGTATAACAATTATGCTGTACTGTTCCTGGCCCTAGCCCCCCTCTCAGTCTTAAGGTGCCCATACACCTAAAGCTGGCCCATAACACCTAAGCTTAAAATAACTGAACAATCTGGTTGGATGCAGGCATTGTTCATGTGTTTTTAAAGCCAGTGGGGCCGACTAGCAAGATACTAATGTTTGGCCCAGTAGGGGCTACCTCCGTAGATGGAGGAATCTGTTGCACTTTTTCCATCTGACCATAGAAAATCTACAGATATTCTAAAGGTATATGGCCAGCTTTACAAGTATCTGGAGATTTATGTCTGCAATCGCGTTTTCGTCCGAAAATCTGCCAGTTGATGGGAAGTGCACAACCCTCAATTACTGTACAACTGGCAAATTTTTTTTCTTTCAAGCAGGCTAGAATATTTTTGTCTAGTTGGATGAAAATTGATGGGTTAGTGGCGTTGTTGTACAACAAAAATCTCAAGATGAAAACTGCACATGCTCAAACGAAAACCTGTTCTTTCCATCGATGAAAATCACCCAGTTAGTGGTACGGCCAGTACCCATGTGAGGGGTCTGGGCAGCCTGGGGGGCCTCTCACATGAGTGGATGAACAGGAATCCTCTATGAGTATTTCTGTTCATTCATAACATGAGGACAGTGTATGTTTACTATAACCACAATCAAGAATGAACAGGAGGTGATATAGATCACTTCCCATTCATTCATAATTGAGGATATAGTAACCATACTTTGTCAATTATCTACAAACACTCAGTATCTTCAAACACTGAGTGTTTGCACTTGCTCTCCTTCCTGACAGCTGCCACAGGAGGCTGAGCGAGCGGTGCAGGGAGGAGAGCTCAGCCTCCTGTGACATCGCTGGCTGTCTCCGCCCACACACAGCTCTCCCGATCTGCGACAGGAGGCTGAGCGGTGTGGGAGGAGAGACACCGGCCGCTCACAGCGCTCTCCTCCTGCAGCGCTCTACCGGCTGTCACATTTTCTCTCCACCCCGCGGGACACAGAGCAGCGCCCAGCGGAGAGGAAAGAAAGCAGGGATGCGCCGCTATATCGGCACAAAAATGGCACTTTCGGCATTTAGCCAAAAGTGCCATTTTCGGTCGATATGTTTTGGCGGCCGATATATCGGTGCATCCCTAATATACATGCTATACATAGCATAAAGGTAAAAAACGATATATGCAGTGTTATCTTCATTTTAGATGTCAAAAGGGTTTTTTTGGCTCCCGGTGTTTTCTTTTCTGTGGGAAACGGGTCCAAATGGCTCTTTGAGCGTTTAAGGTTGCTGACCCTTGGGCTAGTTGAACAAAAATTGAACGAGGGTGAGATGTCTGGACAAAATAAATTGTACAATGGTTGTAAGGTGTATGGCCGCCTTTATACTTTCTTATCCCCAGTCCAGTAAGATAACAGCTGTGCACCTTGTTAGCATGCAGGCCTTCGCTCTGCACTCTCTTTTTGTTACTATGGAGAGTTTATACTCTATAGTCTTTTGAAGTACAAAACAATATAAACAACACCACGGTCAAAAAGTCAGCACCCTCCTCCTTTTTAACCAAGATGCTAAGAGGGACTTAGACTGAATTTCACTTTTGTTGGTGTGAATATAGTTTATTGGATATTAACAGCAACCTGTCATTTTGAGAACTATTGAAAAATGTTTATTAAAAAAAAATCCACCCCTCTCCCCAGCACAGTAAGGCCACCCATAAACCCCTCTGTTTTAATTATGTAAGAGTCCTTGCCCTTAAATTAGAATTGAACCTAATCACAAAATGTTAAAATTTTTAATACTAGATTAATGTAATTTCAAAATTGTAATATCTAAGGGCCGGTTTCACACCACATAGAGTGCGTTTCAGAGCATTCATGCAGCATTTTTGCAGATCGCACTGCGGGCGGGGGGCGTGTTTGCGGTGCTATTGACTTCAATGCAACACCATGCCCCATCCGGCCCCTGAACGCAGGGAGCCGACCGCTCCGGAACGCACTCTTTGTGGTGTGATCCAACCCTTAATATATTCATTTCAAAAGTTGCATTGAATGTTTTTACATACAGTATGCAGCATTCATCAAACTCATACCTGGTGACCCCTACATGAAGTGCCCTGTGCAGGTTGTGAATTGTCTCCCAATTGTTTTATCATCTTTCCTACCACATTTCTTCCTCTGCAAGCATGCTGACCCATATTGTGGAGGCATAGTGCATCATCATAACCATCAGGAAGCCGATCAAGAGCAATGATGTGCAGCCAGCACTGGAGCGAGTGTGTGTAGGAAGGGAATGATTACAAAGAATATGGAGGAGGTCAGCAACACTAAGATGCAACAAAAGCTTAAAAAGTGATAATGGCATTTTATAAGGAAAATGGCAATTATTTATGGTACTTTAGCAAATTAAATGTCATTCAGTTTCTTAGCTATGTGTTATTTAAAGCTCAGAGTTGCATATATCTTACTGTCTTGTGAGGTTAATAAGCTACACAACTGCCCCGAGTTTAGCCTACACAAGTCTCTTTGGACTTCAAAATTCCTAAGTAACATTGTCACACTTTTATTTTGATAACAATGTTTTTATCACATCATTATGCCCACACAAGGAAAATAAAAAGGTCCGAGAACATATTTAGGTTCAGACATGTTCAATACATATTTGTGAATACCCTGACATATTTTAAAATATCAATTTCTATTATGCATTAAAGCTGTACTGTAGGCAGATATGAGACACAATGCGGTTCTGTATTTGTTATTACATTATTAAATGTATTTTTTAAAATACGAGCAGTGCAAGTACCTGAATGTGACTTGAGCAGAAGGAGAAAAAGAAGGAGAAAAAGCAACACATGGAGCCAATCAGTTAATGTGCTGGCAAAGAACATGCTGATAGGAGAAAAAAATTAGTAACAGAAAGGTGAGACCATCACTCTGCTGGTTCAGCTTCACTGTCTAGTCACAAACTGGGGACAGCTCATGATGTACTGAGCAAAGAGGAAGAAGAATGAATACTGTTGGCTCTCATTCAACCTGGGAGACTTAAGGCATCTTGTGGCAGAAAGGAATACTACAGGGTAGACATGTAAGCCGGCAAAAAAATGTGTTTTGTTTCAGATTTTTCTTTATTTAGTTTTTTGGGCATTCGGGTCCGAAAATTAATTGGTTCGGGATTTGGATTCATGTATATTTTCATCAATATCGGATGCGGTAGTGTTTATGAATGAATTTTCGTTGCAGCAAAGTGACATAATGAAAAAAATGAATTTTTTTTAAACAGTCCACAGAAACAATATAAAAAACCATGGGGTTCCCCCCTAAAACTCCTACCAGACCCTTAATCCGAGCAATAGCCTGGCAGAGCAGAAAAGGAAGAGGACACGCGAGCGCCCCCCCCCCCCCCCTCCCTGCGCCATACCAGGCCACATGTTCTTGACATGGGGAGGGTGCTTTGCCAAGGGGGACCCTCTGGAAAACTATGTTGTCCCCATGGTGGTGAGGACAAGGGCCTCTTCACCACAACCCTGGCCCGGTGATTGTGGGGGTCTGCGGATAGGTGGGCTTATCTGAATCTGGGTGCCCCCTTAGATGAGCTACAGATGAGCCCCCCTGCCCGAAGACCCCCACTACCAAAGGGTTGTGGGGAAGAGTCCCTTGTCCTCATCGCCATGGGGACAAGGTGCTTTGCCAGGGGGTCCCCCTGGCAAAGCACCTTCCCCATGTCAAAGACATGTGGCCTGGTATTGTGCAGTGGGGGGGCACTCACGTTTCCCCACGTCCTGCTCTGCCAGACTGCTGCTCGAATTAAGGATCGGGTAGGAGTTCTAGGGGAGAACCATTTTTTCGTTCGGCAATTCAGATGCATGCAAATGTCCAAATATTAATCTGAATTTCAATTCAGAACAAAACAAATCGTACATGTCTACGACGAGGGACAGCTTGGTTGAAGGTGAGTATTGCGAAATCTGCTTTTTATATATATTTTTTTAATAGCCTTTTTTTGCTGGAGTTGTGCTTTAATTCTCTGTACTGTACTGAAACATTATCCTTTGCAGATATATGTCAGCTGAAAAGGGAAGAAGGAGACTGCCAGAATTATGAACTGAAGTGGTGGTACAACTCTGATCAGAACGAGTGTGTCCAGTTCTGGTTTGGTGGCTGCGGAGGAAACAAAAACCAGTTTAAAACGCAAGAGCAGTGTGAAGCTGTTTGCTTATCGTAGAGTTGTTAGGTTGCTCTACCCTGTGTTATACATATAACATGACCAGATATATCTGGAATTAATGCATCTGCATTAGTCAGTGAAAATGATCACAAAGGGGGAAACACTGTTTTCAACTAAATGTACCAGAAAATGTCTTAGCTTTAAACATTTTTTATTATTTTTTAAATAATGTATTTAAAATATATGATGTATAGAGAGTCACTTCATGGTACCCCTTTCTCTCTTTGTATCTTGAAGTATTACATAGCAATGCAGGAGAAGGGTAGAATAGATCAGATTGTGTGTTTTCTAGTACTGTGATGTAAAAGGAGCACAACAATAGGCAATTAAAATGTGTCAAAAGAAAAAAAGTATTTAGTTAGATTCACAAATACACAAACAATGGTTTTCATAGGATAAACGATTTCTGAGGAACATAATTATAAAAAATACATTTGCATTATAGCAATATCAACATTTCTAGATAAAAAATGAAATTTAGGGACTACAAAATGTTTCAGATATTTCAAAAGAGAGAATGTAAAAACAAGGGTCACACAAATTGAGTTGTATGTAGACATCTAAGGCTCAGGTTATGTGCTCTTGTGTTAAAGTATTCTAGTAGCTAGGTGTAAAATCTATGCCCCCTCTCGTCCTATTTTCATACATTTTGGCACTGGCCTGAAGCAGCCCATTCTCTGTTGTGAACATGGTCATCCTGCCCCATTGTATTCTTCATAAAAATTAATACACAACCTAGTTTTAGCTGAAAGGGCATATTGTTCAGCATGTGCCCCATTAAGGGCTGAAGCAGTGTCTGGGAATTGAAGCACTCCCCAGGAAGTAAAGCATTCACCAGGGTCTCAGAATGAAGAACCAGGGAGATGACTGACCCATCTATATCCACCCATGCACAAGTTATGAGTTTAGTGTGGACTATTTTTATTCATACTAATTCTGCACATTAAAACTTATACCAGACGTCCAAAGGAGCTTTTAAACTTTTTTCAATATAGTCCAAGATAACCTTTCTTTTTTGAGGTTTTAAGAATTTATTAGGAAGTAATCTCACGTATTAGAGGAAAGTTTAAAGATTATGAGTGAGAAGTTTTTTGACAGTTTCCCACGGGTTAATGGAAATCTAGTAATTAAAAAAAACAGAAACAAGCACAAAAAGAGACTGAATACTTACTCACTGCCCGTACCACCAGAACATCACTCCATTAAAGAGAAATTGTCTGCGGACAAGATGATAATTCTAAGAACACTGATTTCCTCAATCACCCGCCGCACTCACTGGTTTCTGCTTTTAACCCCATATTACAGCTGTGTTGGTAAGGGGCCATCATTATCAGAGATACGAAATTATATGTGTATTTGTGCCAATCATCCAGCAACAGTTTTCCTTTGATACAAAATAAATGGTGCTGAAGAATGAACATTCATTCAACATTTGCTTTGACAAAAACTAGATTTGTAGTGCATTTTGCATTTTTTCATTTGAATGTCAATAAAATAATGTTTTTATCTATTAGTTGTGTGCATGTTTGGTATCAAGAAAATAACATGAGTGATACTTTGTATTCATCATATACTACTTTCTGATATTATTGAAAGTTACATTTTATTTTACAGTAATTTGGCCTATGTACCTATTATGTTATACTGGCAAGTGTCTGTAAAATATTGTCAGAATGTTTATACTGCTCTGATATACAGTCTTATGTTTATGGAAACAAATAAGAACCTATAATTAAGGAGATTACCAACGTATTTCCATAAATCAAAATTTACACGAGTTCTTTCATTTGCGCTGACTTTGAAGACAAAAGGAATACAAATGTATACAATATATATATATATTTATTAATTAAAAATCAGTGCAGAATAAAATAAAATATAATTGGTAACAAACAAAGAATATGGATCAGATAATAACAATTAATTTGATATCACAGGTAATGCATACAAATGTAACCACTGGATATTGTTCAAAATATAAATGTAACCAAGATAAAATGACTTTTTAAATGTAATGGGTATCTTCTCAGTATCTCACAGAATAATAAAACAAAAGGCTCAGAATTGACATGTGACTTCTCCCAGCACAGATATTCACAAACTCAAACTTTTAACAGCGCATGGGCGATATTTATCCCATCATGCACAGGGCTGGCAATGAGCCAAGACCAGTCAAAGTAAAGACGAATTTCCAACAATTGAATTCAATATATATCAGACTGGACCATTGACTAGAAACTGAAATCAGTTTCCTGGAGATTATACAAATGTATATAACAAATGTATATAATTATCTCCCAAGATTGAAAGACACAATTTTTACTGCAGTTAAAAATTATCTTAGATCAATCTTGATCCTACAAGAACTCAATGGTTTACCCAAATATATATATGTGGCTAATGAATTGCCTAATATACAGATAGAAAGTATACTTTACCAGCAATTTAAAATTTAGTTGTTTGAAAGAAGTCAGCAGTCAATGCTCAGCAACCAGGGATAGTCAGGTTCTCTTTAGTTCAGTTTCCTTGGACAGCCGTCCTCAGCTTCCGACCTATACCCTTGGAATGTATTTGCTTACTGCCTTGGTGTTGGAATCCCTTTCTTCTGGATCCTCGTCCCCTCTCTATATCCCCCCTGTGATGTGGGCTTGGTTTGGTCTTCCACGTGATTATTGACGTGAAACATGACGTCAAATATATCCTTTTTGCCCTAGACCTTTCCCTCACAATCACCACCAGGGGGCACTATTGTTCTATATAAAAATTGGGAGCATTTCATTTAATTTCACTAATTTCGAAAATTAAGGCAGTGAGATAACCTCTAACCTCAGCCCTTGGAAAAAGACATGAATATAAAATTTTGACAATACTTGATTACACAGTGTCAGACGTTAGGTCTGCTTCTTCGATTTACAACTTTAAGACAATCTAATCTAAAGCAATTAACGTTCTTTCTTAAATTCCTTGAAAGTGAGGTACTTAGTTTAGACCCAGAGGTTTTTCATACATTACAAGAAAAGAATATACATTGGCATGTACCACCTAATTCTTTGCACTTAAATATAAAAACCCCATTATTTAGTAATACACAATAATATATTTCCATGGGTACACTCAAACAATATATAATGAATATAGTTTGGATATATAAAAGTACATGTATAAAACTTTACTTGAAATCAGTCAACTAAGTAGGCATATAGATGCTGCATATAATATAATAACATTATTGCTAATTATAATTACTGCAATGACTAGTAAGGTTTCATAACAACTTTAAGATAAACCCCATCTTCTATTCATTGAGAGAGAGAAAGAAAAAAAAAAACTCTAAACACTCCAGTCTCTTGTACATTGTATTCTTGTGGAGGCAAGAAAGTCATCAATCAAGACCTACACAGGTAGGTACCATCCTTAACTGATGTGCGTCTGAGACCCCCACAATTTACGATCTGAGACTATTTATGCTAAAATTCCTAACTCCTTCTCTGTGAAAGTCTCTGTGCAAGAAAAATGAACTTAGACAATCACTCAGACAAAATGGCCACCAGTATGCCCATAGACACATCTGTAAAATAACATGTTTAGGCCTATGAAATTGATTCCTTTCGGCCCAATAGTTCTGACAATATTGCATACTGTATATATAAAAACTGGTCTACTTCCAATCAGAACGAATTAATAGAGATTCATTGACTAAAGGTGTAGAGTATGTTTACTTTACAGAATAAATGTGTATATAGCTTAGTGAAAAAGTTTAAGTGGTATGCAATCCAGTCATCCGATCAGGCACAAGCAAAAATCCAATTTATTTCTCAATTTCATTTAAAATGACTGGATATTCAAAGTAAACAGTTCTGACCATTCTCCTTTAGTAAATCAGCCACAAAATACAGTATATTGTTTTTTTAAGCCCTTGGAGATCCTCTTACAAAATTTATGGGGAAAAGGGAGCGACCACATAGCTAAGCATAGAGCAGACCAATATATACATACATAGTAGAGACATAGTTCAAGATAGGGTTGAACAAAGACACAGGTTCATCGAGTTCAACCTTTGGGTTTGTGTGTGTGTGTGTGTGTGTAGGGGGGGGTGTCACATGCTGGACCTATATATCAAGAGCTGAGTGATCACGAACCACAGATTGCTCAGATCATTGTCTTCTCCCTGCAGAGTAGTGATGTGACGATCGCGGCGGCCCCTTGCGTTCCACGCTGGAGCGCAGCTGCGAACCAGGAAGTCGTGCTCGCGCCACTGTGGAATGCATCTGCCGGATGACGTCACCGGCTCCTCCTACGCCTTCCGGCTTAGAACGCCGGCAGACTGTCAGCACGGCGTTCCACTATTGTGAATGTGGAGTGAGCGCCTGCTGACTCTGCCGGCCACACGGACCCCTGAAGATCCCCACTAACTGGAGAGAAAGACAGACGAAGTGTAACGCTCGAGCCAAGGAGGTTAGGTTGGATCGCAGCTGGGAAATTGGCTAGGCACCTGTGTGTGTGAATTGGCTCAGATCGAGGGTTCCCGTTTTCACTCTGTATGGTGTGGAGTGATGTTGTAACCCTCTAGCACATCATATGCCAATCACAGTATAGGATGGGGGGTTGGAGGTCCCCTATAGCTATGCTTAGCAGTATTTCCTATAGATGTGGTAACCCACCAGCCTTTAGATACTAAGATTCATATGAGTAAATGCAGTCACATTAACCCCACACTCTCCAGGGAGACAACTGAGATGTTTTGCATAAGAAGCGTAGTATTACTATTAGGATACAATTTGTAATGGAGTAGAAGTTCACTGGTATCACTTTAAATCATGTGCGCAAGTGAGTTAACGCTGACACTTTCTATAGATTAGCCCCTAGGGCAAGGTACTTGCAGTTTAAGATGGTATTATAGTACAATAGCTAGTCTAGGAAGCTGCTATTGGGGAGTCCAGGCAGTTCCAGAGAGAGTTCCCAGAGGCAATCCAAATGAGGAGTCAGAGGAGAGCAGG